TGTGGGTTGGATGGGGCTCATTACTCTGCTTTCTGGTGCAGCCAGAAATACTGAGGAGTCAAACTTAAATCTGAAAGAGTTTCTTCCTGATTACAACTGGACCAAAATGAGAGTGCCCAAGTAGGGTGAACTGTGTCTTGAAGCAGTTGGAATGGATTTTCCAGGAATCCCAGAAACAATGGGATTCCCAGCTGGATGATGGTTTTAACTTCAGGGTTGCAAAGGAATATTTTTGGTGACATTGATTTAATGAAGCAGTGGTAAAATCAGAACAACTCCAGCGAGTTTGGGACAGGATAACGTTTTGGGAAATACAATGGAGTCTAGTAAGGAGATTGGCAGAGATTGGCTTACTGCTTAAGGCCGATAGACTTCTTTTGTCTTTGACCTTCAAGAGGAAATGTACATGGCAGGGGGTTGGGAAGAAGCAATACTTACACCCATTGTTACATGGTCCTTTCCACATGCCCTCAGGTCTTATGTGACCACTCATGAAAAGTTAATTTAAAGGTCATCATGACATTTCCAGGGTCATGCTGTTGGGCTCTATGTAACAAAATATAACAAAATATTTGTACTCCAAAATAAAGTGGGGTATGCAGGGTGTGCTAACACTAGCTTACTAGTTATTTCATGTTTTTTAAAAACATTTTAATGTAAGCTGTCTTTAGATGTGCTTTTTGGAAGCTGCCTTTGACTCTTCTTTGAAAGGCATGACATACATATAAACAAACAAAGTGCTAATGTTAAAATGTGAAGATGGGTTGTATTTAGGTTTTGCTATTTCTTTTTGAGTAATAATACCCTTTTATCACAGTAAGCTTGGGCTTTTCCATCATGCAGGTTTGGCTCTGGGCTTGCACTTAAAAACATTTTACTGTGGTCCTAAACATTTATGTCAACTAGAGCTTGGTGCTAATCTTAAAATGGAGGAATTCTAAATGCTTCATGTCATAATTCTGAAGGGCTTCAGCTGATCCATGCTTACACTGAAAGAGTTTGTGAGACGGGGCTGAATGGGCTTGTCCTACTCCTTGGGCCACCATACCCAGTGGGCATATTCCTTCCAGTCTGTGGGGCTGGCATGGAAAAGGATATAGAGCTTATCTGTGTGCAGAAGGACTCTGACAAGACCATGATTTCCCCTCTCAACAGAGGAGCTGTATGTACGTTCATGCCTGGATACTTGCAGAGAACCTTTTCACATACCAG